TTTATATGATAAAATACAATGCCGTCATTAAAAGCCACCACCTAGAAGTTTGAAGTATATAAAGAAATAAAGAGGAAAAGTCGTTTAAGACAGGTGCAGTGGCTCACATGTATAATCTGAACACTTTGGGAAGCCAAGGTGGGCAATCACCTGAGGTCAAAAGTTTGAGACCTGCCTGGCCAACAGGGTGAAACCCTATCTCCACTAAAAATAACAAAATTAGCCAGGCGTAGTGGCGCACGTCTGTAGTCCCAGCTACTCAGGAGGCTGAGGCAAGAGGACTGCTTGAACCCAGGAGGAGGTTGCAGTGAGCGGAGATCACACCATTGCACTCCAGCCTGGGCGACAGTGACACTCTGTGTCAAAAAAAAAAAAAAAAGACAAAAAGTCACAAAACCATATACAGAGTATAATCTCAATTTTTAAAATGCTCATATTATATATATATGTGTTTATAATAAATATATAAATCCTGGCCTTTCCACTTACAAGCTTATAAACTTGGTTTTTTACTCTCTAGGTTTCATTTTCCTTATTGTGAAATGATGATAATAATAGTACCTACTTCATAAGGATAAAAGAGCAATCCCCATTCTGGGACTCTATTCTGACCAGCACATTGACAATGTTTGAGGCTCCCAACCGGAGCCTCAAACACTCAAGCCACTAACCACTGCATGTTGATTGACAACAGCTTTCTAACTGGTCTCCTTTTTTACCTTTCCTCACACTGATACACCCAACACGACCACCAAATCAATATTCCTGAAATCCTCATTTCATGTCATTTCCCTGCTTTAAAAATCTGTAATGGCCTCAAGATGAAATTCTCCTTAGACCAACAGGACTTAACTCTATTTTACCTGCACTGGCAAGTATTGACAGTAGCTGTGAAATCAGGTTGTTCTAATTTAAATCCTGGGTACAGCACTTATTAGCTGTGCGACCCTGTGCAAGTGAGTTAACCCCTCTATACTTCCTCAGCTTCTCATCTCTAAAATGTGGCTAGTATTCATCATATGGCTGTCTTTTTATAGAGGGAAAATTCTAAGTGCTAAGTAAGCCTGGCACTGGAGATGCATCCTTTAAATGTAAGCTGTTACTACTACTTCCCTAAACTGCCTACTCCACCTGAGCTGCTCTTCTAGATCACTGCCAACACACAATGCCCAACTTAGGTCTTTTGCTGGTGGTGTTCCCACCCATGAAGGACCATTCTATCACAATCACCACCACCACCAAAGAGTTTTGTGTTCAACATTCACACTATATATTCAAGGTGTAGGCTGGAAAGACAGAAAAAAAAACAGTCCCAATCCTCGGAGCTCACAGTACAATAATGAGAGAGAGAGAGAGGAAGGGATCCAATAATTATCGGTGCCAAAGGAAGCACTTCCTGCAGGCAAGAGAGATGCTTACATTGACTCCAGAAAGCTGTGTGGGTTCATCAAGCAGTGTGAGTGCATGTAGAGTAAGAGCATCCAGTATAGCAGTCACAGTCACTGTACTGAGTCTGCCACTGCTGGAGCACTAAGGCTAAGAGAGGGTAGAAGCTAGATCAGGGAGGTTCAGGAAGTGCTGGCACTTTATTCTGCAGGCCAGCATCAGCCACTAAGTAATATTAAGTATGGTACACCTGCCTGGGGCTCTAGAAAGATTATACTATGCTGTCCAATACAGAAGCCACATACAATGACTGGAAATGTTGCTAGTGTGACAGAAATTAATTAATGTAAACTTGATAAGTGATATGCAATTCAGTTACCAAAAAACCTTTACGTATGTTTGGAACAATTAAGAGTATGTGAATTGTCCTGACAACGGTGGCTCACACCTGTAATTCCAGAACTTTGGGAGGCTGAGGCAGCAGATCACTTGAGGCCAGGAGTTCAAGATCAGGCTGGCTATCATGGCAAAACCCCTTCTCTACTAAAAATACAAAAATTAGTCAGGCGAGGTGGTGCACACCTGCAGTCCCAGCTACTCAGAGGCTGAGGCATAAGAATCGCTTGAATCTGGGAGGCAGAGTTTGCAGTGAGCAGAGATTGCACCACTGCACTCCAGTCTGGGCAACAGAACAAAACTGTCTCAAAAAAAAAAAAAAAAAAAAGTATGTGAATTCATTTTTCAACTATAAGTTTAATGAACTTTAAATACAGATCAATTATTTCTGATGACAATTTAATGTCCAAATTCAAATGTGCAGTAAGTGTAAAACATGCATTAGATTTAGAAGCCTTATTAGTCCAAAAGTAAACCATTTCATCAATAATCTTTAATCACGTGGTGAATATTTTGAATGTATTAGGGATTATATTAAAATTAATTTTATCTGTTCCTTTTTACTTTACTGTGGCTACTAGAAAATGTAAAATGACGTAAGTGACCGGCACTATATTTCTATTGGACAGCATTGATCCAATAGATCTAAGGAGAGCTGAAAGAGGAAAGAAGACCAGAAGCAAGGAGACCAACTAAAAGACTCTTTGATAAGCATCCAGATAAGAGAGATGGGCCTGATTATCTAAATTCTGCCTATCTACAAAACCTAATTCAAGATATACTACTGCCTCCAAAAGCTTTTCTAATCCTAACAATTCCCAAGGAACTGCCTTTCACTGAACTCCTGGGGCACTTATCTGTAGCATTCACTTCAACACTCAATCATTTGCCATCTGTTATTTCTACTTAATTTTGGGATAATTTCTCAGATTAGACTTGAAGCTCCTAGGTTATGGGCCATAATTTAGGCACCTTTAATTTTTCCATACTGTGCATTTTTGATACTTTTAATAAACGCAGGTGCATGACTCCCCAAAAATGTGGAGACACCTTCACGGGTGACTTTACCTTTCCACAGCAGAAGGTCCTGAGAATCTCTTTTCCTTCAGGAACCTTAAAGACAGGAGCTAAAATGATGTAAAAATCAATCAACACTCCAAGCCAATGTTCCTATAAAGTAGTGATATTTAATCAGCGAGCAAGCATTAGTAGGCTGTACTGGATATTATCAAGAAAAAAAATGCCAAGACGGCAGAACAATTTTGGTTTTTGACAAATTCCATGAAAAGTCAAACAAATTTCTGATCATCTCTGATCTCCACTGCCAGAGATAACCTTCGCCAGCCTAAGCATTAAGAACTTTCATTCAAGGCCGGGCGCAGTGGCTCATGCCTATTAGTAATCGCAGCACTTTGGGAAGCCAAGGTGGGCGGATCACCTGAGGACAGGAGTTTTAGACCAATATGACCAACATGGAGAAACCCCGACTCTACTAAAACCACAAAATTAGTCTCTACTAAAAATACAAAATTAGCCGGGCGTGGTGGTGCATGCCTGTAACCCCGCTACTGGGGCTGGGGTTGGGGGATGGGGAGGGTGAGGGAGGCTGAGGCAGGAGAATCACTTGAACCAGGGAGGCGGGGGTTGCAGTGAGCCGAGATCGCGCCATTGCACTCCAGCCTGAGCAAAACTCTGTCTCAAAACAGCAACAACAACAACTTTCATTCAAAGGAAAAACACACATCTATTTTAAAAATTAGCCCCTAACTCAATCCTTCTAATAAATATCACATTTTCCAGGTAGGGAACCACGTATTACCAGTAATTCAACAACTCAGCATTTTCCCATCTAAATTATTCAGGTCAAGAAAAACCTTTTCAGGGAAATGTTTAGTAGTAGTATAAGTGGGAAAAAATATGTGTGTGTGTGTATATATATATATATATATATATACACACACACACACACACACACTCCCTCTCTCTCCAAGAATGCCACCAAAAAACAGTAGTATAAGTGTATTTTACTGCATCAATAAAGTATTTCACCTAAAGTACCATTTAAATTTTCTAGAACACTTGAATGTAACAATAGCCAGCTTGTACTACTGCAGAAATAGGAAGACAGCAGCAACTAGCTGAAGGCAAGGGACATTCTGCGGTGCTCAGTACCGATCTGGGAACTTTGCAGTTTTCAGATTTTTCATGTTTGACATTTAAAACAGAAAATTGACAAGTTTCTAATAAGAAACTAAAAGTTACATCAGAATTGATCTTCTTGCATTTGTTTAATGGCTACGAAGTGGATATTACAAAGTGCAATTGAAGTTTCTATCTCCAAAGAAACAATCGAGCAATCAAAGACGGAGTTAGGGCAGCTTATAAGGGAACAGAAGGCAGTTCTATTCTGAAAGGCAGAAGAAATGAGAGAAACCTGTCAAACAGCCTGGATGAAATCAAGGAGTTAACAAGCAACACTCATTTCCTTTAGCACTGTGAGAAAATTCCGGTTGCTAACAGAAAGCTGAGGAAAGTTTGGTTTGGCTCGTTTCATTTTGTTTTCCTTCCAAATCATCACTGAGTATGAACGACTGCTTTCCTCTCCTCACTTTACTCAGTAAAAACTCCCCCATTGAATTGTCTTCCGGTGCCCTGCTCTCCAGCCTCCCAGACTGGCCCCCGCCCCCGCCTCCCTCCCTGCAAACGTGCTCAGACGCCTCTGGGCTTGTTGTGGTCTAGCCAGTCTGCGGGCCAGCGCTCCAAACTCAATGGACAATGGAGCTCACTCCCGTCAAGGCGAACTACAAAGCTCAGGAGGGCCATTTCCCTTTTCCTGCCCAGATGCTGTTTTCGCTCCTTCGAAGCAAGGTCCCATGCTCGACTAGAGAGCCACTGTGGGCCACGACCCTCGTGTCTCGTTCACCACCTGCAGAGCTGCTGAGCCCCTGGACCCCCAAATAAGTTGAACCCCAGCGCACAGGCCAAAAAGGCCCCACTACCACCAGAAGCTTGGCTGGGGACAGCGGCTTCACGGTCCAGGTAGGGATGGAGGGTACGTCTCGGGACTTTTGGTCACGGCCCTCGAGGCTAAGCCGTCTCCACTGTCCCCTCCCCAGCTTCAACTTGTCTCCCCTCCCCCTACTGCAAGAAGACCGGGGAGGTGCAGGCAGGCAGCACCGCCACCTTTTCCTCCGGTGGAATCCTCGGCCGACACTCACCCTTTCACCACAAAGAAGGGGTCCTCCATGGACATGGCGTCCCGGCCCCGGCCGCCTCCACCTCCTCCGCGAACAGGGCACCCGTGCCTCCCGGCCTCCCTCCGCCCACCCCGCCTGTTCCAGCAGCTGCCCGCGTCTCAGCCTGGGGAACGCCGAGCCGCAGGCACTGGCGCAGGCCAGGTGCCCGGGACCGCCACGGGTCCAGCACTCGCTCAGCACCACCGGTCGAATACAGGACTCCAGCGCCAGCCCCCGCGGCAGCCCCGCGTCCCGGCTCCTCCCGGCGCGTCGGAGGGCCTGACCCCACCCCCGGGAACCTAGGCCGCGGCCAATCACGAACGTCGCCTGAAGCACGACTTCCGCACCCCCGTCACGTGACGAGGGCCTGCTCCGCCCCCTCGTGGGTGGGGCCTAGGCTTGCGTCACACCGCCCTGGAGGCGGAGCCCTGAGGCCGTGGAGGTAGGAGGCCTGCGGCCGCCCTCCCCCTCACACTCGTGGGTGAGGAGTGGCTTCTTCCCTCCGAGGTAGGCAGTCGGCTTTTCAGGATAAGCTGTAGTTGCACCTGATTTGCAAACTCCTCTTACCTTTCCTCTACTTTTAGTACTTGATTTTGACAGTATGCAATTTATATCTCTATCTGGTCCTAGACTTACAGTGAAGCATAGTATCTGGTTATGTTACACAGATCCTTTAGGTCTTACTTTTGTTGGACAGTGTGCTAAAGGTTGTATGTACATCATTTCAGTATCTTTTGGGGTAAGGTTTCTGGAGAGGGGACAGACTCTCTTTCTATCACCCAGGCTGGATTGCAGTGGTACAGTCACAGCCCACTGCAGCCTTGACCTCCTGAGCTAAAGTGATCCTCTAACCTCAGCCTCCTGAGTAGCTGGGACTGCAGGTGAGCGCCACCACACCTGGCCAATTTTTAAATTTTTGGTAGAGATGTGGCCCTCAGTTTATTGCCTAGGCTGGCCTCGAACTCCTGAGCTCCCATGATCCTCCTGCCTCTGCCTCCCAAAGTGGTAGGATTACCACACCCATCCATTGCCCCCATTTTGTAGATGAGAAAATAAGTTCAGAGAGGCTTCAAGACTTTCTGTAGTCACACAGCTTGGACAGGGCAGAACTGCAGATTCTGTGCACTTTCCACCAGATGGGGTGTACCTTCTGTTGCTGTATATTCTGCAAATAATCATGTAAAGTAATTTTTCGTACAGCATATGGTGTTTCCCAGGAGAGAGCGCCTTCAAGGAATAAAGAAGGGGCCAGGTATGACAGCTTCGTCTCACTGTGGTTCAAGAACAATTACAGAAAACATTTTGGCCAGAACAATTAACCAACTCATGCTAGATATGCTGCGGAGTTTGCGGATGGGGATTGTGGACTTTGATTGATGAAAATCATTGGGCACTTACTGTGTGTGTGTCAGGTGTTAAATGTTATCTCAGTTGCTCTTACAATGCTGTAATTACTGCTATCATCCTCATTTTATGAATGAGAAATCTGAGACTCTGGGAGGTTAGGTGACTTGCCCAAAGTCACCAGTCTCTGGAGATGGCACAGTCCTTGGAGAAACACCAACCTTGGCTCTATCATTCATTTCCTCATCCATGAAACATAAATAATAATAGCTAGTTCATGGATTGTTGTGATAGTTAAATAAAAATGCATGTAGCTGGGCGCAGTGGCCCACACCTGTAATCCCAGCACTTTGAGAGGCCAAGGCGGGCAGATCATGAGGTCAGGAGACTGAGACCATCCTGGCCAACATGGTGAACCCCCATCTCTACTAAAAATACAAAAAATTAGCTGGGCGTGGTGGCACGTGCCTATAATCCCAGCTACTTGGGAGGCTGAGGCAGGAGGATTGTTGGAACCTGGGAGGCAGAGGTTGCAGTGAGTTGAGATCATGCCACCGCCCTCCAACCTGGGCAACAGACTGAGACTCCTTCTCAGAAAAAAAAAAAAAAAAAAAAAATGCATGTAAACCTTGAGACCTTGAGATCCCAAAGGACTGAGTTGCTGAAGTTAGGAAAACCAGTAGGACGCTGCTAAGGTCATCTGGCCTGAAGGGATAAGGACCAGACCAGGATGACAGCAATTGAGAACAGAGAGGAAGGAGTGAATCTGACAGATGTTTCAAAAGGAAAATAAGATTAAACACCTAGACATGATGAGGGGCTGAATGGGTTTCGGTAGGGGAGAGAAGAGAGAGGTAAAACCCAAAATTCCCGAAAGAGCGAATGGTGGAAGGCAGACGCAGGGAAAGGAAGCTATTGGAAGGGAACTGATGAATTTACTTAGGAAGGTGAAAACGGGTCATCGTTCATTCATTCAACAAGCCAATGTAAATTGAAGGGCAGGTGAGCAGGTGTTGAAGAGCCATACTTGGACCCCAATTGCTTGAATTTAAATCTCAGTTCTGCTACTTCTTGACAGCTGCATCTCAGGCAAGCTGCTTAATCTCTCACTATCCTCAACTGTGAAAAAGATACCATAATAACAGCTTCCTCATAGAGTGTCATGAGGTGATGTGTGAAAAGTGCTTAGAACAGTGCCTGACACATGTTATGCTCCTACTCTGTGCTAAGCACTGAAGACACAGGCATGAACAAGGCTTGGTTCCTGCCTTCAAGGAACCGTCAGACTGGTGGGATTGTCAGGCTGGTGGGAGAATGCACGGTGAGAGAAGGGCACAGGTTGCCATAGAAACACAGCGATAAGATAGCGGTATACTTGTGTGTTTTCAGGGCTGGGGTGGGGTATTCCTGAGCAATGACTAGAAGCAGCCAGGAGAAAGGGAGTTACTGGAGTGAAAGGAACAGGATAGGGCCAGCAGGAACTAAGCCTGGAGGTGGGGAGGGTCAGATTATCGGGGCCCTTGTTTGTGATATTCAGAATAGTGGACACTTCCTATGGACAGTTCCACATAGGGACTGAGGGAATTGACAGGGTCAGATTGGCCTTTGAGACAGATGCTTCAGTGGCTGAGAGGTCCTGGTCCAGAGGAGGGGTGACGGTATCCTGAGCTGGGCTCCTGGCAGCTAAGTTGGAGAAGAGTGATGTATTTGAGACACATTTTAGAGGCAAAATTAGTAGACTTGGTGACTGATTGATTCAGGGTATGGGGGAACTGATGAAAGAAGAGGAAGGCTTTTGGGATTCTGGAGTTACAGGTGGGTAGTGTTGCTTCCAGTCATAAAGAAAGAGAACACAGAGGAGGATTTGATTTAGGACGAAGGTAAATTAGCTGTTAGCATGTCAGTTGTCCCCACCAAACTATAAACTTCTGGAGGGACAGGATACTACGGTAATGTTATTACCACCAAAGTGCCTGGCATGGCCTCTTATTCTGTGTTCCTTGAATTTCTTAACTGGAAAGAGACGTCACAGTCTTACAAGTAGTAATAGAGGATGGAGGACAGAGACTTGGGAAATTCCCATAATTGGGGGTTTAGAAAAAGCACCGACAATGGAGATAGTGGAGTGTTGAGATAGAAAATGGGTGTGTGTGTGTGTGTGTGTGTGTGTGTGTGTTCCTTTCTTTAATGCGTCACCCTCCTTCACCCTTTCTCAAACTAGACCTTAGCCTCCACTGCCCCCAAGGAAAGGGAAGCTGTGGCTAAAATGCAAGGAGAAACAAAGGAAGTTATTTCTTTCTTCTTTCTTTCTTTTTTTTTTTTTTCATTTAATAGGACCCACGTCCTGGCATAAACAATAGCTTAGGAAGAATACTCAGCAATACTCAGAATACTCCCGTACCCCCGTCCCTTTCCCACCCCCCACCCCCCGATCCAAGGGAAAAATTAAATTTCTCAGGGAGTGAAAAATCAAAACAGTGGTTGTCTTAGGGGAAAGAGTTCAACTGGGAAGGGAAACTTTGTGTGGTATTAGAAATGCTTTGTATCTTGATGGAATGTGTGTTACATGAGAGTATCATTTGTCACAACTTCTCAAACCAAAACTCTTAACTTCTGTTCCTTTTTCTAGGGGAGGTTGGCATGCCAACTCTGAGCTTTCTGTAGAGTTATGAGCAGGCAGCCAGGAGAACCTCTGGTTCCTGAGTGAGTCTCCAAAGTTAGAGCAGTGCATGAGGAAGGCAGCACACTGGGTCCCGCAGTACATCTTCTGCAGAAATAGAGATGGCAACGCAGAGAATAAGGCACAGGCAGCCAAATGAGCTGAGGATCAGAAAGGGGCAAACCATATCTCATTGCTGGGGATGCCAGGATAGACCTGAGAGGGATTGCAGTGGGTAGCTACCCCCTGTCCCTAGAAGCTGTGGGAATGCCATGACACCTCTGCAAGGGCATCTTCCCTACTCTAAAATGAAATAATGACACTCAGCCTGCTCCCTCACCAGGTTGTTGTAAAGAACAAGTGAATCATATATGGGAATAATTTTATTTTTAAAATTTTTCATTGTGAGGCCAGGAGCAGTGGCTCATGCCTATAATCCCAGCACTTTGGGAGGCCAAGGTGGACGGATCATGGGGTCAAGAGATGGTGAACCCCCGGCCAACATGGTGAACCCCCGTCTCTACTAAAAATACAAAAATTAGGTGGGGGTGGTGGCACACACCTGTAGTCCCTGCTACTCGGGAGGCTAAGGCAGAAGAATCACTTGAACCCAGGAGGCAGAGGTTGCAGTGAGCCAAGACCACGCCACTGCCTTCCAGCCTGGCGAAAGAGTGAGACTCCATCTCAAAAAAAAAAAAATTTAATTGTGGTAAAATACACGTAACATAAAATTTACCATCTTAACCATGTTTAAGCGTACAATTTAGTAGCAGTGTTAAATATATTTGCCTTGTTGTGAAATTAATGTCCAGAACTCTTTTCATCTTGCAGAACTAACACTTTATACCCACTGAACAACTCCTCATTCTCCCCCAACAATCTCTGGCAATCACCATTCTACTGTATGTCTCTATGAATTTGACTACTCTGGGTACCTCACATAAGTAGAATTCTACAGGATCTGTCTTTTTATGATTTGCTTCCTTAAGTTAGCATGATATCTTCAAGGTTCACTCATTGATTCTGCAGATCGCAGAATTTCCTTCCTTAGTAAGCCTGACTAATATTCCATTGTATATATACCACATTGTGCTTGTCCATTCGTCCATCAGTGGACACTTGGCTTTCTTTCACCTTTTGGCTATAATAAATAATGCTGCTATGAACACAGGTGTACAAATATCTCTTTGAGACCCTGCTTTCAATTATTTTGGATATATATTCAGAAGTGGAACTGCTGGATAATATGGCAATTCGATTTTACACTTTTTTGAAGAACAGTCATATTGTTTTTCATAGTGACTGCACCATTTTACATTCCTACTAAAAGGCATACGTGTTCCAGTGTCTTCA